AATTAAATTGTAATAAAAACTCATGACAGGAATAATAATTATTATATAATTTACAATGTCGATATGATGGCTTATTTTCAGTTTTTAAGTGTTCTGACACACATCCCTAATAATATTAAAAGTGGTGACACAGTAACTTTTAGATTTTTCTCCATTGCTTTCACATCAGTAGCAGTTAACATGTTTTATAAATAAATGAATTGTTGTCGATTTTCGCGACGATAAGTGTCGCTAAAAGATAATTGAAAAAAAAAATGGAACAACACATTGCATCTATCTACCACCGTGTCACCTTAATCCATACTAATTACTAACATGTAAATGTGAAAGTAGCTCTGTTTGTATGTTTGTTGCCTTAAATCGTGGAACAAATTTCAACGAGCAATCAGACGGACATAGATTGCATGGTGGGGATAGACCACCATAGATACTTTTTATCCCTAGGCTAAATCCTAAAGCTAGTTTATAGTTTTAGTTTTCAGCTCAGACTAAAGAATTATATCGACGGAGTCCAGCAGAATAAATGTCAAAGTCAAAAATGGTAACGTGATTTATTGTTTATGCTACTATTCTCAATTTTGCGACACAAATCGTTTACTTTCTTTAAAGAAGAAAGGAAATTTTATATATAACTAGCAGAACCCCGGGGTACGCCCGCGTTCAATCTACAAAAAATTAAAAAAACTCTTTAGTTTTATGTTATACATCGACTCACCCTCGCTATGTGCTTATATAACATTGTTTATACAAAAATACTAAAATCGCGGTTAAAAAATGGGGGGGTGGGGGTAGGAGGGTGAAAAATACTTTACGACCTATTCCCATACCTACCAAATAAATGAAAAAAAATCATTAAAATCGGTCGAGTCGTTTCGGCGGAGTGCGACCACAAACATCGTGACACGAGGAATTTATATATTAGATGTTATTGTATTGTATTAGACAAAATCCGAAAAGATAGTTTTATTTAAAATGTATTGTATTAGTTAAGTTTAAATACAATTTTTGGAAATAAAAATAATTTATGTTTTTTTATATTTTTTAAGCATTAGTTCTCTTCCCCTTAAAAGAGTTATAGCGTAATATTAGCTATTTTTTTTTCTTCATTATAATAAAATCCGTTAGCTATTTTTATTCATTAAAATTTATTAACTTATCACTCAGTATACAAATTATCATTTGTATACTATTTTAAAACATTAGTTTGGCTTCATGTTTAGTTCTGCGACACTCTGTCTATATTATTCCTTAGTCTGGAATAGTAATTATTGTACACTAAAAACCGAAACCGTTTCAACTGCAAGTAAAAACTTCCCCTTGATAGTCGTTTAACACACCGAACATTTTGTTGTATATATAGCGAATAGATAGCATTCCCTAAAGCCTGGTGAGAAGTAATGGTTGATGTGACCTAGGGCTTAATTGCTACCTCGTAAACGTTCCTCGTTACATCTTTGACATTGGACATAAAAGTTATTTCCCATACACTCGGTCTCATTAATTTTTAGCCTTTTATTTAATAATTAATTTTCTTTATACTCAGACTAAGGAATAATAGACAGTGTCATAGAACTAAACATGAAGCCAAATTAATAATGTTTTAAAATAGTAGGTATATTGGTACAAATATTAATATAGTACTCATGTGATAAATGATAAGTAAATAAATGTTAGTAAATAAAAATAACTTAATTTATATTGAAGTTGGATTTTATAATAATAAAGGGAAAAATTAGCTTATTATATATCATATTATGTTTATTGTGCTTGCTTAAAAATACAAAAGAATATACCTAGTATTATGTTTATAATTCATATTTTTTTCTCAAAAATTGTATATTAACAACTAACATCTCAAAACAATCGCTTATTTTTTAAATAAAGTATGGCTAAACCGAGAATAGTTAGTATAAACAGCAATATCATGCTACTATTTTTGTTTAACTTTTTTTTTGAAAGGCTCCGACTATATAATTCTTCAGTATAGATCTCTGTATTAGATTTTAATAACTTTGAACAAGACTAACCTCTTCATTGGCTGTATTATATACAGTGCACCTCTTTCCAAAGATACCCACAATGATTTTTTAAGGAGTAGTAACTAAATGGAGTAAATTTTAATAATAGCTTTTGGTCGCAAACTCATAATACAAACCAAAATATTACAATCGTACTAAAACCTAACACTACTTTGAACAAGTAAACTTCAGAATGTTTATTGGGACAATAAAATAGAACAATACAATATATAATACATTTAGTACAGTTATTTTAGAGTGATGTATAAACTCACGTAGTAAATATAAGGTTTGAATATATACAATACTAGCATTGCCCGCGGCTGCGCCCGCGTTCAGATGTCCAAAAACCAAATTCTTAGGTTTTACATATTAGTATGCTCTAACATTGCAGTTTTTGTATTTTTTCTCAGAAATGAGACATTTTACCGTGGTAAAAAGTATCCTATAGGTATATTGACCCGGATATCCAGCTATCACTATACTATCAGAAGTGCGAGACCCGGGATTTGAACTCGCTTCACTCGGTTTCCCAAGCGAGCGCGTTACCACTGGGCTACCACTGCTTTACAGTTACTATACTATTGACAATCTAATTGTAATTTGGGTATGTAAAGAACCATCAAAATCCCTAAAAATTTAAAAATCATAACTATTTTAGTAGTACAATATGACTATAAACTCTTCAAGGCATCAGACGGTTACTTAGTTACCTCTCTGTTACTGTGTTCGATTACTAATTGGCACAATTTATATTAAACATGCAAATCTAACTAATATCTAGGTCTTGTTATTGTTTTTTAATCAACGGATGAAGTTTACATTAAAAAAAAACTATTTAAATGGCGACCAAATATGAATTGTAGCATGTTTTTTTTTAATTTGTATAAAAAAATAAATTCAAAATGGCATGTAACATTACCATCATTAATTACTATTTGTGGAAAATTACTATTCATAATGACTTTTCTAAATGCCCCATTGTTTTCAACAAGTTTGCTTGAGTATATAGTTTCAGGTCGCCCCCAACCCCAAGGTCGCACACACCCATTTCCGCATCGTCAAATTAGTATCTATTTTCATTAAATATTTACTAATTTTTTTATTAACGACATACAGTGTTGTTCAGAACAGTTCGCGAAATATTACTGAATAAGTGAAAAGTTTAAAAATTAAGAAAAATCATTTTATACATAAAGCTCTATATAAAAGCTAAATTATAATTTTTGAAAGCGCATGTTTATATTGACAAAAGAATTAGTCTACTCAATTCGCACTCTTCAAACTCAAGAACTATCCAGAAGTTCTTGTTAGTATTCCAAGAACTATTATATATACAGCATTATATTATACAGCATGTAACACATGTGCAGTTATTGTGTATTTACATAGAAATAATTACAAAACAGCACTACATAGTGTAATTTTTATATACGAGCGTTTTAATGGAAAATAATATATTTGATTAATTTGTAATGATTTATGTATATGACTTTTAGTTGTGTGACCTTGGCCGATAAGAATATATTAAAAAAAAGGACGCTAATATATATTTGTTTTCCCGCGCTTTTGCACGGTGATGTTGGCACCACCTTGTGTGACTAGTCACGAACTGTTTGTAATATTGTAAATTATTAATATAAATTATGCAATTCGTTATTTAAAAGAACACTGTTAAGTTTCTCGCCGGCTCTTCTCAGCAGAACTGCTTTCCGAGCCGGTCGTAGCTTCAACACGAACAGACGTACTGACTATTATAAAAAAATTAAGTTTATATTGCAAATTACTGAATATAAGAATATATGCAAGGAATATCTCGATGTTTTATTAGGGATCCTACAATATGAATGCATCTTCCTTCGTGTTTATATATATATATATATATATATATATATATATATATATATATATATACAAACAATAACCTAAAGTATATTCAATGCAAATGTCAAAGCAATAGCAATTTTTTTTTAATTAAATTACTATAACTACATATGAAAACATCATCATCATGAAAACGTCTAATCTTCTTTAAGATAGTTATATAATAGAGAAAATTGCTTAAATGACGTATATATGCTTAGCCAAAGTAGTTTAATCTACGAGGAGGTCCCCATAAATTATAAGTTTCGTAGAGTTTGAAGTCTTATTTTTAAGGGTTAAAAAAGAAACACACACTACCCCTTTACCCCTTAATATTGTCTTACCCACTATTGTCCCGCTTGTGTTTTATCCCGAAGATAGTGGGATCAAAACATTAATTTGTAAACACGGAATATTTATAAAAATGTAAAAAAATAAACTAAGGACTTCAACCAGTTATCAATAATATTGTACATGATCAGAATAATGAGAAAGGTAATTATAAATTTAAAAAACCCCCTATGCAAATTAATTGTCATTTAACGATTGCACTGGCACGCGTGAAGTACTTAATCGAGTAATCATACGCCAAAATGCCTTACATCATTTTGGAGAAGAGCTGATACTCTTACACTGCTGGACTGATATTAACCAAACATAGCAACTACCAAATCAACACAAGGAAACTGGCTTTCAAATAAAAAAACCGCATCAAGATCGATCCATCCGTTTGAGAGCTACGATGCCACAGACAGACACACAAACACACAGACATCGACGTCAAATTTATAACACCCCTCTTTTTGCGCCGGGGTTTAAAAATCATTCAAGTCCAACCATGTTTATAGTGTATGTGTCAAATGCTTATGATATGAAACTATGGTATGTATAAAAAATACTCTATAAATATATTAATGTATTCAATTTAAAAAACAACAATTATTTCTTGACGTTGACATTAATGAAAAATGATCCCAATAGATTCAGGTGTTTGCTACTAATTGGCGTAGCAGTCCAAACGTGCGGTCCCTATAACCAAATTACGTATACAGGGGCATTACACGTTATAAAAATAATATTATTGACATGATAAAGATGAAAGATCAAAGGTGAACTTACCGGCGTGATGTAGCGCGGTCTCGAAGGGCGCTCGTTGCAGCCGTTCCTTGCTCTCTGCCAACAACACGAATAGATCAGTACCGTGCCAAATACCGTATATTTACATTGGGTTCAATGGAAATTGCTTCGCATTTGTATTAAAACATAAAATGCCGTCAACAAAATAAACTGCATTTTAACAAGGCGAAGACATCACTCTCCCTGACAATGTAAGCGAGAGTCGGCCTTCCAAAAACTTAGATGTTTTGCTATGTTTTTCGATATTTATTTGTAAATTGTATAAATAGACTGTGATAGACAGACAAACAGATATTATGAAAGTAAATCCTAAGGGTTCGACTATTTTCAGGTGTGAGACACCTGTCACCTTAAACGAAATGTATGAAATATTTTAAAAATAAAATGAACATGGTTTTTGATACTTTCAAAAAACAGAGAAGGCTCATTTCTATATCAACATAATAAGTACGTTTTTTGCTTTTGTTACACAATATCTTGGCCAAATGTGAACCGAATTTTGTGATGATTATTTGCCTATATGATAGTCCCATATGAAATCCAAGAAATATGTCACTCATAAGAAAGCAATAATTTTAATTACATTAAAATTGATTTTAAAGTCGGTGTAGCTTTACAATTGAATGGTTTTTAATTGTACTTTCAAAACGTATGTGTTATAATTGTAAATCTATGTTGCTTGCTGTATTTTCAAAAGTGTTAACTTTTTATATAATGTCAACCAAAAAATACTTTACAGTCAGAGATGCAAAATGCGACAATTTTTTTACGTTATGTTAGTCCTGGACAATTATACAAACATTCTATTTAGATACTAGTATTCATGTTTATTTGAAGAAAAGTAAAAGATCTCATTAGATTTATATCCGAAGATGCAATAAATCGAGCCTTCCATACCATTTGTTGAACATTTTTACAAGCAATAAAATAAATACACGGAATTTATCTAGTGCCTCCTCCAGGTATACATTTGCTTTCAAAAATATTTACTTCAAAGTGATCAGTGTGTTTGTGTGTTAAACGAAACAATAACACGTACAGGATACTAGTAGGAAAATTATAAAATAAATAGTCAAGGTCTATAAATATTTATAACTTTTTGATAGATTTGTATTAGAAAGTGGATTCATTTCGTATTTTTAGTACTCCAGCTAAAACTTGATCTCTATGATGCTTTTCTTTTAACTAAGTTACGTGTCCTTCCGTTTAATCTATGAGTAAGATCAAATATTATAATAGGTACTAACGAGGTACATTTTTTTTAACGTAACTCTAATTATTTTTCTAAAATAAAAGTAGCCTAAGTCACTCCTTATAACATCAGCTATCTGCCAGTGAAAGTTTCGTCAAAATCAGTCTAGCCGTTTCAAAGCCGTAACAGACCGTGGAACAGACAGAGACAGACAAAAAATTTAAAAATTGTTTTTTTTTTCTTATAAGTAGGTACCGTATATACTTTCATATGCATTTAGTAAAAAGCTGTTATTTTGACATTACAAGCAGAAATTTCCAATTTTATTTATAGTATGTATATAGTACCTACCATCTTAAACTTTCCAACAAGTTAGTTTTTTTTTAAAACAGGGTAAAATAACGTGTGACATGAACTCTAACGTAAGCCAATCGGTCACAAATATTTGTTGTAGAAGATGAAGTAATATTTTCGCTTCAATCTCTAAAATTATTTTAGTGACTCTAAGTCAAGTTCAATAAACTTTTCGCCAGGTGTCGGCCAGAACCAAAATAGCTGTCCTAGAACCAAACCCCGACCCCATTAGAGTGTGTGACGGATGTTTATGTGAACAATTAGTCTATTCTAACGATGTAAATGTTTTTGCGGTTTTCGTTTTTTGATAAATATGAATGAATTTTTTATTTAATTAATTTTAATTTTTAATTTTAATTAGTAAAAGTTAAATTTTCGATAAAATTTTCATTACAGATTAGAATCCAAAATTTGCAAAAGCTTTTGACAAACGACAAAAAACTATCGAAGATAATATGAGTATTTAAGATTTAGATGATTTAAATAAGGTATTCTTCGGTTTTTTCGCAGTTTTTTTTTCTATTGCCGACTTTTCGGTATCACAGATTGTGTCTACATATAAAATATATACTTAATCATTTGGAATACAAGAGAACTGGCACCAAAGTTAGTGATACCTTAAAAAGCAAAAAAAAAAAAATAATTTGTGTTGCTATTGTAATCCAAATTGTATTATAAATCAAAAACAAAAAAGTCAAAACACAAAACCGCGTAAGAAACCGAATCACTGGTTTTATTTAAAATGTCAAATATTCGCTAAATCTATAAAAATATTAAGGCAATATTCCAATATTACTATTAAGTCCCACCACCTCAAGCCAATGTATGTATGTAGGTCATGTTTATATAACAAATTATTATATTTTGTCAAAGCAATTTAAATTAATACTGACCCGATTCAATTTCAACCAATGAACTAACAAGTAGTTTCTGGTTTTTACAATAACTCCATCGACATGTGTTTAAACAAGTGTTGAGCGGAAATCAAATCTGGTACCATCCAGTTAAATCTATAGCCCATTAAGTACTTTATATTGATAGGTTGTTTTGAACTCACGACTATATTTTATGTAGGTTTTTCCTACTAACTTTATCAAAGTAAGTTTGCAGTAAACATGGGGCGCAGCATTCATGCCAGAATTTTCAACAATAATTAATTGTGCATTTGAATGTGTACAAATTTCAGTATAGGTATTGTTTTAGAATAAATTAAAATAAACGTCCATATTAAAGTTATAAATGTGAAAGTGTGTTTGTTTGACTGGCTGATTTTTTGTGTGGAGATACTCGGAGAGCTGGAGAGTGAAGTTTCACTTTGTATAAATATTCTTCAATACAATTAATTAAATACGTGTTTTAGCAATTTTTATTTATTTATTTATTTTAGGGAAACAAACAGTACATGAATAATTAATAATAATAGATAACACATTAACTAATGAAGTTTCCACAAATTAAACAATACAAATATGAAGCAGACCACAATGAAAACAATTTTTTGTAGTTTTAGCGCGAGCGAAACCGCGGGTTCTGCTAGTATAAAATAATTTCAAAATAATCGTTGAAAATATAACTTAATAGAATAAACTAAAATAAGACAAGCAATCTTGCAACGACCCATTGCACTAAGTTGTACGGGTTCCACTGTGGGTTTTACTGAAAAGTCTCACAGTTCCTTCTCATTAACACAGCGATATCAAAAAAAGCTTTAGCCATCTAACCGGGACTTCCCCAAAATGTTTGTCAGAATCTATACATCTATATCAGTGTCCAGAGAACATTCGCATTAGCATTCGCATTCGCGAATATTCTCATATTTTTTGCCATTCGCATTCGTATTCGCACGAAATGATGCGAATGTCTGGCGAATGTATTTGACAAACAAAAAGGACATGTATACATGACATAGTACATATATGAAATATATGTACTATGTATATGGAACGATAATACAACTGTGCTTTATTCATGTTCTTGTATCGACGATGACACGTTTGACTCAGTTTGCAGTGTAATTTCTATGCCAGCGGTCGCGGATTGGAGTCCAGCTGGGGACAATCATTTGTATAATGAGCACGAATGTTTGTGCTCCAGTCATGGGTGTTTTTATTTATAATATATATGTATTTAAAGTTATATATGTGTAGTGTATCAACTATCTGGCATCCATAACACAGGCATCGTAGTTTACTACGGAACTGAATGTTGTGTGTTAATGTCCCAACCTATTTATTTATTTATTATGTCACTTTGTCATTTTTGAATAGGTATCCGTTAAATTTGACAGATTTAGTAATACAAAACAACATCAAATCAAAACAAATCTCTTTGAATAAACTTTATGTGACTAACTTCGTTCATTCAACCTGTAATGGCTCGGTTATGTTCGGTTTAAACATCGCCGACACGAAATGTTTGAAAGTCATCATTCGCATTCGTATTCGAGAATATCGGAGATTAATATTCGTATTCGCATTAGCGAATGTGAAGAAATCGAACATTCATTACATCTCTAATAGGAAAGCGTACATTTCAATTTAAACAGATAATATGCAGTCTTTAATATATTCATATCATTCACATAGATGTCATATCCTTGTACCAAATTTCATCGAGGTCAGCTCTTTGACCGCGAAAAGGTAACAAACAGACAGACTCACTTTCGTATTTATATTTAGATACGTTTAGTATAATTTGTATGATAACGTGTCGTGACGCTGTGTGATGTCACGGCGATTAATAATTATTTTAACGATTATTTTAAATCATTCACAGAAATGTTTGTATTGACCATGCAACATTTGTTCTAACACGTCAGACGAAAATTTAGCCTTAGGGGTCATACACGACATATTGTTTTGATAATACTTTCTTACATTAGATTTACGCGAATATTTGAGATTTTAAATAAAACTATCTTTTCGGATTTTGTTCTTCTTCTTTTCTTTTTCTTCATTTCTTCTTTTTTTTTTAATTCTTGTTTTGATATTTAGGTTGCGCAAAGAACATGGTAATGGAAGGAACTACCCATATAGGCGAAGTGCGCTAAGTAGTGGAAAGTTACAGATTACTTTATACACTTGCAAATATGTTTTATGTAAAAATGCAAAAACCATTCTATAAATGCGAATAATTATATAACTGCCTTTATGTAATATGAATAGAGTTGAAAGCTTACTATGCCATAGACCAAAGATTTAGGTTTCTTACAGAACTTATGTTTGTACTGACGATAAAAATTAAAATAATAATAATTTCCTTTGACACTGAAGCAATTATATTATTTTACTATTGATATAAAGATAAAGAATACATCGACTTTAAAATCCACAGCTAATGCAATTTTAAATCTAAATATTGCCTTATTTCCAGTGCAGATACCACAAACATACAGACAACCAACACTTTGTTATGTCTGGAGCTAATGGACTTCTTTATATCACGCCTCGTCTTGCGAATGTTTACGTTAGCCTTTCCTCTTCAATAGCTA